GAGTGACGGGTAATTAAGAAGAAACGACCAGGCGCCCTTTTTGCCACGGCTAGAGGGGATTGTGACAAAGCAGCCTGTCCAAAGATAACATCTGTCTGCTCGAGAGCTGCGACCTCTCGTCCCTTTGCTTCTACCCTCCACCCTCCGCTGTGCTGACTTGCATTTTCTTTGTTCATTACAGACCGTGTCCGGCACACAGGTTGCAGGTGGCCCGTGCAAACTGGAAACTTTTTCCTCCCCGGACTGAGCCACCGACAAAACATATTCGTTGTTTCGTACCGAGGTTATTCCTTCGGGAAGTCTATCTTTTTCCTTCGCGCCTCTCCCTTTTAATTACGCTAGACGCGTATCACCCTGAACGAGACTTTCTCCAGGACTCGAACAAAATTTCCAGTGCCTTACGGCGATGGAATAATTACGGCGTTTGAAACAATTTCACGGATAAGTATCCGCTCACGATTCAATAATACTCGAGTATAATTGGTATTAGCGGTATCTGATCGCGATTAACTTATTAACGTCTACGCCACCTGTAGTTCGCGCTCCAAATGGATAGACGAAACTATCGCGTCACGCGACAGACAGACCTATTAATTGTTCATCGAACTTTAACGAACGCGACGTGGCGCTAATAAGATATCAGCTGCAAGTGCCTCGTCTCCAAAATAGAGCGCGTCGCGCTCTCCCAAGGTAATCGAAACTTTTGCTTTCGACCTCGAGCTATGTTTGCCGTTTCGTATAATTAGCCGTCGACAATGCAGAACTTTAGCCCGTCTGCGCAAATATTTAAAGGCGCCTGGGTACTCTCTTCGGCTTTAAAACATCGCGATAAAATTTACTCGAGATAGCTTTCCGGAAGTAGCTCTAGTGCTCTCGAGCGTTCGAGGCCTCGGTAGCAGGGCTGACGAAATATATTCAAAGTCGATTATTTCAGCCCCAAAATCGTGTACGTCGTGTGATCGATGACAAGCAGAAGAAACTGCACGAGTATCCGGGCTGAACAGCTGACACAAAACAACCGGTCGTCGTACTTCAACCCAATTTCCCCGGCAACTCCTTGATCTCGATTAACTACGCCCTCGTCGTCTACGCCAATTTACCATTTCCAGCGAGCTAGCAAGACCTGTCTGTCCTTCGTTAAACTACGATTCACCTGACTGAATATGCCGTACCGACTAATTCCTCGACGTTTCGTCCTCGACTGTTCGCAACGCTCCTTCTACCCATCCCCTAGCTGCGTCGCGTTCTTATTCCGACGTTGATCTTTGTTCCTCGGATCACCGCTCGCTATTACCACCATCGACGATCAAGCGATACCTCTGCCGAGGCCATTTCCGGGATTCTGTCCCGCCTGGATCACGCGTCTGCACACACGAGCACACCTGTGCCACGCACACGCGATTACAGCCCGGTTTTCATTCGATACCAGAGCTACCCCTACCAGCCCACCGGAACCGGGTACACCCAACGTGGCCCCTTGTCGCTAGACAGAGCGCACCCGTGTCTTCGTGTACGTATCAAGCGACGCCCAATAAATCCACGGTTTAATTAAACTAAGTTTAAACGGATCTCTCTCCCCCGGTATAAAGCAGTTATATGTATTACGCCCCTGATCCACCGCTAAATCAATTATCGGAGTTACGGGAATAGCGCAGGGGTTGTTTCGTTACTGGATTGCAGTCCGTCTAGAGACACACTACCACCTCGAGCGTCGCTGTCTAATATTTTATTTACGACGGAGACCATCTCCAGACATCGCGTCCTCCCCGTCGTATTATCCCATTTTCCGTCGAAATATCCCTGGACCGACGAATTTGGCGCCGCGTCGGGACGCCTCGCGTCGTTTCGTCGAACACGCGTTGCAACGTCCGCGTACGATCGATCTACCCCTTCGCTGGTCCCGTGTTCGTTAACGCGACAGACGGGAAAGATAACGTTCCGCGAGCGGATAGGACCGTTTCCGACAGAAAAGCAGCCGACGAATCGACGATTGATTACGCGAGGAAGGAGCAAAGCGACCAGGTAGAATAATTAAATGGTCAGCCTTGCCACGCGCATCAGGAATTCCTTCTGCGGCCTGCCATCGCGCCTGTGTACCTCGTACACGATTAAGCCTAAGCCATTCCAACTATTTGCCCTGGTACACGCGATGGGAAGGGCTCGATTAAACGGATCGCTGCCACGGAACCGGCGCGTTACAATCCGCCTAGCCGCCGCACCCCTGCTGCATCCGCAAACCAGATGCAACCCGGTCTATTTTTCTCTCCCAAGGAGGGAACGATCGAGCGCGCAGCAACAGTTTTCCAGCGGAATTTTAACCAGCCCATACATCACCGTATCAAAGCTGCTGCATTATTCAGGATAATGTATCCCTCTAATAAGAGACGAATGCATTTCATTCGACTTTTCTCGCTGTTGCTAATGCCTCTCAGCTACGATGCGGGAATAGAATGCGAATGTGCATCGAAAATGCGAGAAATCGTATTGGATTAAAGGAGCGAGGGTAGAGTGCTTCGAATAGCCGAGTTTCGCCGAGTTTATGGCACTTTTAACTCTTTGCGATATTGATCGCGGCGTCAACCATATTCGGGTGACAATCCAGCTTCCTTCGAGATCACGCATAGGTGCGTGACAATTTTGGGTGAATTAATCTGATGACGTTTACGTCTTTTTACGAACGTAAACTAGTCCAACTGAGGCTCGATAGGTTTTTATTTTGCAATAAGACACAGAATGAATAATGGGGATCGAATATTCTATGTTTGGCTTGATGTTCTGTTTTTAACTAGTTTCAATCTCGTGTCTCTGTGTATTTTATTAACTCGGGTGTATGATGATTAGTCGCTGTGGCGTGTCAGTGGTGGTGTACGTCTGTCAAGGGTGTGTATGGAATTCGATGTCTTACGGTGGCGGAAATTTAAACAATTCGGGCCGGTATGCTCTTTGTTCAATGGTTTAAGTTGAGTAATTCATTGTCCCTTATTAGGGACTAGCACGAGCGGCGTTCTGGTAGCCCGAGTGACTACGAATCATGGGACTCCCAATGACTGGGGACGCTCAGTGTTTCGGGAATGAACGTAGCGAATGAACAGTGATGATTTCATTTCATAAATTTCTCACGCGTTTGACGAACAGGCTCACGCTGCTAGTTAATGTCAGATCGAAGGATGAGTTAGGTGTAAAAGTGTCGGGGGATGCAAAGATCCAAAGCGGTATTTTTATCTGTCTATCGAATACCTGATTCAACGACGGGACGCTTGTTCCCGAATAGAATGAAGCTTTAAAAAATGCCTGAAATCGAGCAACCTCGTGGCCCACTGAAACTTCACAGGCCACTATATAACGTTTATCCTTTGATCTTTGTTCACACTTATTGCACGCGTCTCTCAGCCTCTATACATTCCCCTGCACACTCGTGCCAGGCGCACATGTTCCTGCGTCTAGTGTATATATACGGAAGAGCGAGTATTGATAGGGGAAAAGGGGTTGGCCTGGCTCTGTAGCCACTTGGCCGAGTATGCTTGATCGGTTCATTTGCCGCTGGCGAGGGTGCAGTCACCCTACGACCACCCTTGCCAATCCTAGTCTAACCTGCACTCGCTTCTTCCGCTGCTCGAGACTCTGCTGTCTAGCAATTAAAGACAGCGCTTGGGCGGCTCGGGCCAAAGCCAGACACGCCGTTATTGACACGAACAGGGAAGCATGCTCGTTGTATATACTTACGTACACAGGCACGGAGTATTCGGGACAGATTGGAGAACGAACCTGGGTCGGAGAGGAGATTTAAGGACTGTCTTTCTTGCTGCTAGCCCGATGGACGCTCAGTGACGCGTTAAAGTAGACTCGACCTGAACACGTGATGTCAAAGAGAGCTCGGTGGTAGTGAGCATCGTATAAAAGCCGTGCCCCGGCAGTCTTTGGGCCATCGATTCGCTCTGTGGTACAAGGTAATTGAATTCAGGAGGAACTCCGTGGGAAGAAAGGTGATTTTTATCACCGACCTGGAATATATCTCTGAAGGTAATACAGGTTACGGATTCGCGTCACAGTTTCACGGACAAGTGCTCGAAATGCGGCGATATTATAGAGCGAGACACTTTCTCTGGATGAAGGATGAATAATCGTCGAATGGATTGGCAATCCAGACTTGTTCTTTCAATATCCCCTAATTTGTACGGTGATTAATAATTCGTGGGGAAATTCGGCAGGGAAATTCGCGAACACCGTGAGCAGAAGTGGGCCGGAAAATATGGCAACGATATGCGAATACGCGGTAATAAGTAAACATTACACGATCTCCGGGTACGTGAGTTCGGAGCGAAAACTAGCCATTACGCATATCGATACGGTTTATACGCATGCTAATGCTCGAATGCCCATAATTATGCGAAGATCCCTGTTCCCGCCGGTTATAATCGGCCCGACATTTAATGAACCGTATCGTGATAGAAATCATCGGCACCTGCCCGTTACAGTGTCGCGATTACTACCACACCTTTTTCGACTACCCTCGTGGAAAATTCATCGCAATTGCATCGGTGCAATTGCGAATGCAATCGAAAAAGACGACGTTGAATAGGTATAATAGTCTCCATACGCGACCTATCGAATATTTGCAACGAACAAAAGTCGATATCGCGTTGAAAAGATCGGCGAATGCTATAAATTATTCGAGTATTGGCCTCTGATTTTTAAACACCTTGTATTTGTGCAAATAAACGATCGACGCGCGATCTGCTAGATTTTCCTCGAATATTATCGAATGCCGGAAATATTGTGGGAAAACTGTCGCGTGGCATACCCAGTCATCCATTAAACTCGTAATTTCGTACGATTCGTTAACGCGATTTACGCGGCGTCGATGCGACACCGGCTGAAAATAACCCGGCGACTAATTTATACCGAAAAATAATACGATTCGCGATGATCAGTCGGCAGATATTTTCGTCAAGCGTCCCAGAATTATAGAGATACCATTCCGGAAATATGTCGTCACTCACCACTCTGTCCCCGCGATGCTTTATGAAGCAATTCAATTCCGCTGTGTGGCCAACAATGACGGTGACATTTCGCGGCGAGATGTCGTCGAATTCTGGTTTGTTCAAAGGTTTCGTCGGCTTACTTCCGGCGACCACGCTCGCCAGACTCGATCCACCTGGAAAGAATACGGAAAATACCATTAGAGAAATTGTCTGCCGGTCCACTGCTTCCACGTTTTCCGATATATATGTGTATATATACGAATCAAGCTACCAGACGATTTCAAATAACTTCGAAAATTATTTACCGTTCGAAAAAATGCTTCAAATAAAAGTTGCGCGACTTCCGAGGCCGCTTCTGCTCGCAAGTCTGCGTTCAATTTTTTAAATGGAACGACTGATACTTTTTCGCGAATTCGAGCAAAGCGTCCAATTATAAGAGGGTATATATTACACATACACTGGTCCATATACGTAATACGTTATCTAGAAGCTTCGTAAATATTTAGGAACTGTGGGATTTTGAAGCAGCCTGCTCAAACGCGGAAATTTCGACATCCTAGCCGAGGAAGTGCATAAATAACAGGGGAATCTATTCTTATTTAACAAGGCGTCACGGCAACAGAGCAGCTAGAGTATTTCTCGCAAAGTCAAAGTAAGTTGGATGAATATGGAAACTCTTCGAGCTTTACGTTCAAACGAGGTTAGACGTTGCAGCTGCTTTGCAACATCAAAAGTTCTATCTGCCGAGTAGGCCGGGTTGTTACCGACTCGCTTTCCACCTACACAAACCTACGCAAACGCGAACGAAGCCGCGCACACGCGGCTGATTCTAATAAGCACTTGATTAAGGGTGAACTTCCGGTAATACTAATGCGTCGCGCTATTGTATATGGTCGTGGTACGCAATCACGGTTAACGTTCATGGAATATCGTGCTAGCTGCGCCGGGACAGCAGCACTGTCTTCTTTGATCCACCGTTAATGCAAATAGTTCACCAACTAATAATTTCGAGAATTTCTGACTTCCTCGTGGCATGCTTCCACTCCCTCTTTTCGCCGCTCATTTCGCTTACCTTCGATACACGCGGCTGGTAAATTGGAAAATTGGAAAATTGGAAAATTGCGAGAGCATAAAATCGGAAAATATCGTAATCAAAATTGGAAGATATCGGTAATCGTGCATCTACTCTCACGCGTTCACTTCCACTTTTCACCGCTAATTTCCCTAACCTTCGATACATTTAATTGGTAAACTGGAAAATTGGAAAATTTCAAGATTATAAAATCAGAAGGTATCGGAATAAAAATTGGAAGATATCGGTGATCGTGGATCCAATATTCACTCCCACTTTTCGCCGCTAATTTCACTGACCTTCGGTACATGCAGTTGAAAAATTGGAAAATTATCCGTATCTAAGATCGTGCGTCAATATGTACGTGGGAAAAGGCAAACGCAAATTTCCCGCAATAAGAAAAATCAATCGACTGACCACGAAGGTGTGCGCTCGTTTCGCAACTCGTTCCTCCATCGACGTAATTTATGCCACGTATTACGACTATTACGGCTACGATTATTTATCTCGACTTCATTATACGCTGGGCCAACGTGATTTCGGCATGAATCAAATCTCGTCGCTGGCAGGATTAAATAAACGACGTCCAGTTATCGTGAGTGATCGCAACGGTAATTTTCGCCGATTGTTTTCGGCCGAAATTTATCGTCGAAACTCGGCGATTAAACGGCAAGAATTTTATCGAACGACGTATACACGCTAAAAAAACAAAAAAAGGAAAAAAGACGGGATGATGTAGAGTAAAAAAACAACGAGGGATTCTTTCGGATCGGGGATGATCGGGACGATTTTCGGCAAAGCGAATGGTAACTATTATCTTTGCAGCGAATTGGATTATACTGTAGCAGATTTATACGAATCACTCGATTCGCCATTAACCAGGATTTCGTCGATCGCGGAGATGAGAGAGTCGCCATTAACATAATCCCACGAGAGTGGGTGGAAATGGCGGAAAAACGGCACCGTGTCGAACGAGGGTTGAAGCGGTCGAGGCCAGCCGGGACGAGGTTGCGTGGTACACGAGCGGAAAAGGGTGAGACAGAGGGGAGAGTGGTGCTCGATAAAATTTCCCATTGTATTCCAGTGGAAAATGGGATTTCGGCAGGACAGAAATTGAAATTGTTACAAGGTACACGCGAAATTGCTGGAAATCGCTATCCAGACGGTATCGATATGCGTTTCGGAAGGAACGGGTAGAAAGGATTGGCAGTCGATAACGAAGCGTCGACGAGTTGTCGTGAAATTAATTCACCGTCATGGTCGAACGTTGCTTGCGGAATGGTCGATTTAACGGTGCCCCGTAGCAGGCCGGCGAAACGGGGAACCCGCGAGCGTTCGGCGAGAACGAATGTCGATGGAACGCTGCATCGGGCATCGCGAGGAGAAATTTCACGCTGTACACGCGGAAACGGAGCAAAAGAGGGTGGCTATCGATCGAATTCCTGTGTCAGGATACTCGCGAAGATCGTCGACACGTCGGAGCACGAGGGTCGTGGAGATAGTGGGAAAAATTCGAGAAATTTCGTTTACGTCCTTCCGCCATTTTCGCTTTCAAGATGGACGAAGCACGCTTCCTTCTTGGCAATGGCGGCGGTCGATTCGCCGGGCTCCGAGTGCCGGTTATAAACGAGCGAGGAAGCGACTCGGTGCGATACGCGGGAATATCCTTTACGCGTTTCTCCGCGTGCGTTTATTCAAATTTATTCAAATTCGAATTTATGCGCGCACGGTATCTGGCGCGGGGTACGCGTATGAATGCCGTCGATTTAAATACAGCCTGGCGGCGAGGAAAATCCGGAGAATTTTTTCGAAGATAGCGAGAGAATCCACGATTCCTCGCAGAAACGATAAACAAGAGGGCTCGTTTTAAACAAACGCCTCGCGAAGTCCACCGCAATCTCTGCCGTTTGGTGATCCTCCAAATTTTCTACCTTCCAGTCACGGCACGTACGTTCAGTTATTTGATCTGCCCCTTAGATTCCAAGTTGGCCAGCGGCACGGCCAGCGATACCTTTCGACCCGTTCCTATCGTTTACCTCGTCCGCGAATTTAGAGTCGTCCCCGGAAATGAAGAGGAAGCGGGGACCGGCGGGGGTGAAGAGCGGGAAAAAGTGGAAGGTGGGCCCGGGGTGTAATCAAAGGAACAACGGAGAGCCTCGTGCCGTGCCACGTCGCGTGGTAAAACGGGAGGAAAAAAGCGCAGTGAAATTATGGTGTAATACCAGTCGGCGTACGTATTCCGGGCGGACACGCAAAGCGAACCCTTAAATTCGTCGGTTCCTCCGTGCTCGAGCCTTGTAATTTCAATGGAATGCATCGCGGGGAGATAAGGGATCGTAATTGAACCCCTGAACAATGCTCGCCTGCAATCCGACGTAAGGGAAATTGACGGAAGCTTCGCGAAACCCGCCTTTACGACCGGCATAAACCGATCGGGGGGCTCGTTCTAACTTTTTCCAACGAGCCACTGCCACTGGCCGGAACGAATTTACTCGGTCCACGCGTTTCCCTATATGTCTCGCTTTAACGACCGTTTAGCTGCGAGTGCCCTAGGGCACGAGATCGGCAGAGATCGGTGTAGAGCACGCCTACGCGAAATGTGCCATTCTTATCCGCTTCTTGTTTCACGAACCGAGTTCTCCAAGCGATCCCGTACTCCCCATTCGATCCGGCAGTTGGTCCAAGTACTACGACGTCGATTCTTTCCCGGTGGATCGTATCGTCGATTTTGGCATTCGATTCACTTCGAGCTTCGCCGAAGGGTACGTTCCTTTCAACCGTTTCGTTCCATGACGTTCCACCGACGCGATTCACTCGAGCTATACACCCCTGAACCTGGCTATTTATACGATTGCTGGCTTCACCCTCTCGCTGCACTCCCTCTGCGTCTTAAAGGCAGCGGAATCTCGACGTTTCCGTTTTATCAACGGATCTCGATGCCCTGATACCCGGTCAGCCATTGGTCGAGTGTCTTTAAAGCGGATTTTTCACCACGCTCATCACGCGAATTGCTCGATTAGCGTGGAAACGATAACGAGGAAATAACAGGACGAATTAGTGTACTATTATTTGGGTAACAGGAAAAAGCGAAATTTCGTGCGAATATTCGACCATTGCCATCGTGAAATCCGTTAATTGATGGAATTAAAATTAACGATCGGGTAAATGGAGCCGGTGTAATTAAATATCGGTCGGGTTTTACTAATTCAACGGAGGTCCCCTGCGCGGAAATATCCCGGCGAACGGGCTTGTTTCCCCTTTTTCTAATCAGAATTGCCCGGTTCTCTGTCCGGAACCCGTGGTGTATACTAAGGGCAGAGAATTCGCTGGGTCCTTCGGAACGAATGGCGGGACGCGGTGACGGACGGAAGGAGAACGAAGGCTGGGGAACAGGGGATTCTAATTACGCAATTAAAATATTCAACAGTGTCGTGTCGCGACCATCGCGATGGTCCGCCGTGTATTTCACTATCAAATGTAATTCTGATTAAATGTACGGCAAGTGCCTACAATTTGTTGTGTTCCTTGCAACTACCGATAGCCCACGGTCAAAATACAATACATCTGGTGGATCAGATTTTATCTTATTTCACGAAAATTTGTATCGAATATTAATATAATTCCTATAATTACTAACCTTTCCACCTCTTGCGAAACCAAAACAGAAACGACACCAAAATCACCCCGTTTCGAGTAAATAATTAGTAAATAAACATGAGCGACGGAACTAATCAGCCGACAGAGCAGAATTTACGCAGCAGTCATAGTTCACGAGCACGATGCGACAAACAGAGAATAATCCATGAAGAATGGCTGCAGTGTTACGCTACGACGTGATTCGACAGAGGAGTTAACTCCAGTGCAAGCATTCCGTTCCACAAATCAAGCCACGGTTCGAGCTTCGTTTCAATAATCGTCCAGGAACTGCTAAATAACTCGATAGTTTGGAGCGAGCAGATTGCACGAATAGCCGCGGCTCGTTCTGCGAAGTTCATCCCTGGCGCGGTGTGCATCGCGAGGAAAATCGCGATAACACGGCGAGGCCGAGATAACTCGTTACGGCACTGAGCCCTTATGCTTCCTACGGGGCCAGAATATGGG